AGTCAATACTTTGTGGAGCCACCTTTTGCTGCAATTACAGCTGCAAGTCTTTTAGGGTATGTCTCCACCAGCTTTGCACATCTAGTGACTGCAATTCTTGCCCATTCCTCCTTGCAAAACAGCTCAAGCTCAGTCAGATTGGATGGAGAGCGTTTGTGAACAGCAGTTTTGAGATCTTGCCACAAATTCTCAATTGGGTTTAGGTCTGGACTTTGACTGGGCCATTCTAACACATGAATATTCTTTTTTTTAAACCACTCCATTGTAGCTTTGGCTTTATGTTTAGGGTCGTTGTCCTGCTGGAAGGTGAACCTCCGCCCCAGTCTCAAATCTTTTGCTGACTCCAACAGGTTTTCTTCCAAGATTGCCCTGTATTTGGCTCCATCCATCTTCCCATCAACTTTGACCAACTTCCCGGTCCCTGCTGAAGAGAAGCACCCCCAGAGCATGATGCTGCCACCACCATATTTGACAGTGGGGATGGTGTTTTCAGAGTGATGTGCAGTGTTCTTTCTCCGCCACACATAGCGTTTTGCATTGTGGCCAAAAAGTTCAATTTTGGTCTCGTCTGACCAAAGCACCTTCTTCCACATGTTTGCTGTGTCCTCAACATGGCTTCTGGCAAACTGCAAACGGGACTTCTTATGGTTTTCTTTTAACAATGGCTTTCTCCTTGCCACTCTTCCATAAAGACCACATTTGTGTAGTGCACGACTAATTGTTGTCCTGTGGACAGTTTCCCCCACCTGAGCTGTGGCTCTCTGCATTTCATCCAGAGTCACCATGGGCCTCTTGGCTGCCTCTCTGATCAGTGATCTCCTTGTTCGGCCTGTAAGTTTAGGTGGACGGCCTTGTCTTGGCAGGTTTACTGTGGTGCCATACTCTTTCCATTTCCGGATGATGGATTGAACAGTGCTCCGTGAGATGTTCAAAGCTTGGGAAATCTTTTTATAACCTAAGCCTGCTTTAAACTTCTCCAAAACCATATTCCTAACCTGTCTGGTGTGTTCTTTGGACTTCATGATGCTGTTTGCTCCCCAATATTCTCTTAACCAACATCTGAGGCCGTCACGGAGCAGCTGTATTTGTACTGAGATTAGATTACACACAGGTGGACCCTTTTGAGTCATTAGCAGTCATCAGGCAACTTCTGAATGCAATTGGTTGCACTCAGGGAAAAGGGGGCTGAATACTTTTGCACGTCGCACTTTTCAGTTTTTTATTTGTAAAAAATGTTTTGATTCATGTAAAATTTTGCTTCCACTTCACAATTGTATACCACTTTGTGTTGGTCTTTCACATTAAATTCCAGTGAAATATATTTATGTTTGTGGTTGTAATGTGACAAAATATGGAAAAGTTCAAGGGGTATGAATACTTTTGCAAACCACTGTATGTGTGTGTATGTGCAACCCAGCCAATATATACTTCTGTAAGAATTTAAAACTTTGATCATAACATAATTAGAAAGTAGAAATGTAAACGAAGTTTTATCATTTTCCTGTCCATGAAACTACCAGTGAAACAGCAACAAACTTCAAACATCTAAAAATGTGCTAATGGAGTATTAGCACTCCAACATCTACAGGCTCCTTTAGAAAAGGGCACATGTCTGACACTGTCCATGTGCAGCTCTCAGCTAAAAAGTCAGACAAACTCAGGATTTGTTCAAGTAATCCTGCTATGGTGCAGGGTTGGTTCACAGAGTAAGTTGCGGGGTTTAGTTAACTCAGGATAACGGCTATCTGGGTTTCTGAAACCCAAAACCCAGGATATGCACATAGTCACCCCAGAACTTACTCAGGATTTTCACTTAGCCTGCTTCCTGAAATGGCGCTCTGGTGTTTTTTGTTTGTTTTGTAAATTTAGAAATGAAAGACTGAGTTTGTTGGTTGAAGTTTTTTTTTTTTTCAATAAACGACAGGTATAAGATTTATTTTTCTTCACTCTGCACCCATTTTATTCACAGCATGATTTACTTCCTATATTTCTGTATATAGATTTTGTATTTATGAATAAAATAAATTGAGTAAACAAATATATAAGCTACGAGTAACTTATCTGTAAGCTGTCTCTAGTGTAACCATAACAGTATAATCAGCTGTCTGCTTTTGACTTGTGCAGAGCTCATGTGCAACTTTTGTAGAACTTATTCACAAGTTGTCACACAGTGATGTATCACATCTAGGCTTCAGTGGTATATTGTGGTATTAAAATACAGTGACATGAAAATTATGACTTATTACATGTAGCCTGGCAGGGTCTTCCTACACAGTTCCGCTTGATTCTAATCTCCCTTCTCTGCTCCATTTGGACTTTCTCCCATTTACTTTCTCCAGTAGAATTTCAATCTGGCCTATCAGTGAACAGAAGGAGGAGTTGTGAATGACAACGCCAATTTTCTGCGCTGTTTTAGTCTACCTGTAGTTTAGCGATGGCATCAGAGGAAATGAATGAAGCCAGTCTGTGTTGACGAGGCTTCCAAAGAAAATTCATTTTGTCTCACAAAGCCTGCAGCACTCATTTACAGCCATCTTGGATTTAAACTTTGTGATCCTTCCCCCTCGAAACCCATGAGCTGCTGCAGATGAGGAAATAGCTACAAACTTTATTGGCACAGAGACTGGCTAAACGTATAGCTAACACAGTTACAACTGTGGTAAAAAAAAATAATAATAAAAAACTTAAAAATGCAAAAAAGATATACTTGGATGCATTTTAATTTGTACAATAAAGGGCTGAAGCCAACTCCTCTCCTGTGTGTTCTGTCTTTGATCAGTTACTCAACATGCCACAGACCCAGCCCCCAACACACACACACACACACACACACACACACACACACACACACACACACACTATAATGCCGTATACCACAGTATTTACTAGAGATTATACAGTGGTATGAAAATGATCAACACTGCCCAAGCCTCATAGGATCAACATATGAAAAAAAAAACACAAAAAGGCAAACATGCTGGTGTAGGCCACATAGGTTAAGTGTAAGCTCTGAATAAGTTATCAGCACACTGATACACACAATGGCATAAGTTGTTGTAGGTCAATGCCAGCCAACAATTTTGTACATGCACAAAATTCAGCACGTGCCTATCATAAACTATTAGGGTGTCAAGATCAACCCAGAGGAACAGAGACTCTGGAGTCATTGATAAAACTTAAGTGTTTTATTAATATTTACGGTGATGATCTGGATCAGCAAGCGAAGGCAGATGGTCAGCTGGAGCAGGTAAGATATTGATGATGGAGCTTCCTTTTTGCAGGAGAGGGAAGTGTGTAGACCTGAGGAGAGCAGAGGTTTTCCAAGGAGGGAGCAGAGAAGGAGCAGGGGTCGGATTTATAAAACTTGCGTACGCACAATTTGAGCCCAGAAACTTGCGTACGCCACTTTTTACGCCAAGGTTGTGATTTATAAAATCCAAACTTGACGTGAAAATGTGCGGTGCCTCACGCCAGCTTTGACCCATGCGTACGCTCATTTTGGAGACGTGAAACTGCGACACAGATGGTGAAGTGAAGAATTAGAGCCACACTGTGTAATGATCACTGTCAGATAGTTTATTTACCTTCAGAATCAGACTTAAATAAAAGTTCCCGTGCGCAACTCCATTCACCTGCTTCCTCCTCAGACGACCCCGACCCATACAGACCCCTCCCCGATAAGAAAAGCAGGACAGCAAAAGCTTTGGATACACGCGCAGCGCGTGTATCCAGTCCGTGTTTGTCACGCGTGCGCGGGGGGGGGATGCGTGCGTGCGTGCGTGCGTGTGTGTGCATGCATGCGCGCGCGGGGCGGGGGTCTGCCGCGGGTAACAGAGCAGGCAGGAGGGGGAGAGGACGAGGAGAAGAGCGGGGGACTTATTCCTAATTTTACCTGACTTATTTAATTTATTGTTTTTATCGTCCTGCAGGCTCTGATGGGAGATTGATTTGAAGCTGAGGTTTTTTATTTTTGTTTTTTATAAAAATCGTTAGATTACTCTAAAGCAAAATGAGGGAAAATCTGTGTCAGTTACAGACATTCTGTTCACGTGAGCAGCTGTCAGTCAGCACCTGTCATCCTCCAGACACACGACAGAGCGTCTCTGAACCAATCAGTTTTGTTGGCATTGATCAGCTGACTGATTTAAATACATCTTAACATTCATGAGGTACTTTACATTGACTGTTTATGGTTGAATGTGGGCGTGTAGAGGGTAGAACCTGAGGCGGGACCTCGTGCGCAAACTCTGACGTGCGGCTGTGATTTATAAAGGAAAGATGCGCAGAAACGTGCGTACGTATGGTTTTATAAATCTGAATTTTTTTTGGCGTACGCCATTTCCGCCTTTTGGCCGTACGTTCACTTTTAGTATGGTTTCCACGCAATCCTTTATAAATGAGACCCCAGGTGAGTCGAAGGGTAAGGAGTGGCAGATTTTTCTAGCAGTGAGTTTTACAGGCGGGATTCTTCCACAGAACCAACGAACTAACTAAACAAAACAAAACAAAACAAACCAAACCAAACCAAAAAACATTAACATTTAATGTTCCAGTATTGTTCTGATGGCAGGAGAAGCTTTATAAAGCTCCAGCAGTAATCAGGTGACTCTGTTGCAGCTGCGTCCAATCCTGCTACAGGCCAATCAGGAACAAACCAGCGGAGAAGAACCAGATTACCACAGTGCTGAATTGTTGCTCATAAGCTAGGCTTCGATTCCCCATTCCAACTGTCTCAGTTGTTGTGTCCTTGGGCAAGACACTTCACCCGTCTTGCCTACTGATGGTGGTCAGAAGGTCCGGTGGTGCCGATGTATGGCAGCCCCACCTCTGTCAGTGTGCCCCAGGGCAGCTGTGACTACAATGTAGTTTGCCATCATCAGTGTGTGAATGTGTGCATGAATGGGTGAATGACTGTAAGTGTAAAGCACTTTAGGGTCAGGAGGGACTTGATAAAGCACTATTTAAGTTCAGTCCATTTAACATTTACCATTTAAAGAATTAATGTTCCAGGTTCGAAAGAGGAGGGGGAGATAGGTGTGTGAGCATCAGCGGTTTAAAATTAGAGTTGCAGCTGTAACAGCAGCTTGTGTTCTCTGGCTTGTTGCATGTTCTCTGCAGGCTGAGGGGACATTACAGTATACTCACATATTCCATGTAAATCTGAAAATATGCTTAAACTTGCTGAATGTGTTTAACTTACAGCTAGTGTTTTTGGTAGTGCTTTGGGGTTCAGAGATATTTGGCGACAGTTGATGAGTAACTCATCACTCCTGTTGGATCCACGGGATGCAGAGGTCCTCTGAAAAAGAAAGAAGATGATGAAATAATAATGAAGAGAAACAGAAAGACAACAAGAAAGAGAAACACAAAAACAATAGTGTGAATGCCTATGAAGATTTCACACAATAATCAGGTCAAAAACCACAGGACCTTCTGCTGTTTCGCAGTGCTCCGGCTCTAATGAAATAGGAGTAACAAGGCTATTTTTAACATTTAAAAGGTAAAAAATCAGCTGAAAAAGAGTTACTTCAGTAAAATATAGATAACTAAAATTTCCACGTAAGTGAAATACTTTAAACCTTTTGACAACATAAACTGAAAAAGCTCCACAAACACGGGCTTTAAAAAACAAAAACCTTGAGAGAAGCTTCCAGTGGGTTAAAGGCACAGTGTGTATGATTTGTTGTTTTCAGCGACATCTAGTGGTTGAGTGGTTGAATCATCCTCCCTGGTCCTCCCCCCACCCCCACCCCAGCTTCCAAACCCAAAGGAGTTGCTACGGTGTCTCTCAGGTGTCAAAAACCTTTGATAATTCCAACCGCGATGTCTACCAGCAGCTTCAGGGCTAGTGATGTTTCAAGTGGTAAGATTATGAGCTTTAATAAGTAAAATTATCCCAGCTACAATGACAGACAACAAATATTACATTTATAGTATTACAACTAAAACCATTTTTGACGGCGCCACCGCAGTTTGTCCTTCATGAGCCTTCGTGGACAAGATGGCGGTGCAAGATGGCGGCTGCCTGTAGTGGCGATCCGCGACCATGGAGATATAAACAGCTTTTTATAAGGTAAAAATAATAAAACAAGGTCTTTGTCTGCAATGATTAGACATGTTTTTTATTATTGTCATTAGTGATTATCTCAATTTTGGCTAAAAGAATTGACAAAATCCTACACACTGTGCCTTTAAACTGAAGGGAATGTTTGATTTTTACTTTTGTCAAAGAAAGAAAATGTAACTTCCTTTTTCTGAAATAAGTTGGTTTTACTTCATTAGAGAGGCATTCAGAACATCTGGCTTTTCCATGGTAAAAACACTGAGCGCACTGGCGCTACATAAAGTTAACCTGTCATTGCTTCCATTATATGTCTTGACTGAAGTCAGCCTGTCCTTTCAGAGCCCTCTAACGTTATTATTCGCTGCAGCTTTGCAGTGTGCATTCACTGGTGGCTTACTGGTCCAGGAAATATAAAACAAATTTACCACAAATGTACTCTAGCTCAATTCTAGGTAAAGCAAAATGGTGCGACCAGATGCCACTACCTCACTTGGCCAGTTTATAGCTGTACCAGTCACTTTATCTCCTATAATAAAGTCCCACTTAAAGCAGCATGGAAATGACATTTCCATTACCAAGCTCCCACTGCTGCTATCAGTCCAAAGTGCTGAAAAAGCCCAGTAAATGAATCTGGGTCTACAAGGTTTGTACATTCATGTCTCTTTTTGAGCAAAGGGACTGAGGAATTGTGGTTGAAACAGTCAGGAAAAGGACAGAGAAAACTACACATCTAGAATTTAAAATAAATTAATAAGATAATCCTTTTATTTTATGCTTTACGCAAGAAAAGTAAGTTATGCTGTAGCTCAGACAAAAAAATGACTGTTTCTATTGTGTTCTTTAAAAAGCGATTTCTCAGAAATTCTAATGATTGCGATGAAATGTTTGTTTCTGCGTTCAGCAGAGTTGAACATTCATTTCCTATTGAACTTTCAGGCAATGTGCTCCATGTGAACCAAACAAAAAAATTTAAAGAAAAAAGAAAAATTTAAGATGCTTCGGTTTGTGCACAAGATTACTCAATAAGTTATGGATGGGTTTTCTTTGAAATTTTCAGGGCACAAGGAACAACTCATTAAATGTTGGTGCTTAACTGGCAACATCTACTGGAGCATCAGCTCTGGCACAAACAGAAAGTGAAACTTAAAAAAAAAGGATAGACCCTTCCAAAAGGAAGTATATTTTAAGTACATGTCATTAAGTATGCTAAAGTATAAAATATATATTTTCCCAAGTGTCCTTTTGTTTACCATGTACACTGATATGAGTATACTAGCAGTATAATAAGAAGTACACTTCTTGGGACTATATTGGCCCACTTTAAGTTTGTGAAAGTCTACTGAAAGTAATCTTCATGGTATACTATTAGTTTACTTAAAATAAACTTTTAAGTATGTTTTAGTACACTTGAACATATACTGAAGGTAATCTTCTAGGTATACTAAATTTCTAATTATAATAAAGTAATGGTACTAGAAGTGTACTAGCAGTAAACTTCTAGTGCCATTTTATTAGTTTATAAAAGTACCTTTTTGAGTATACTGAAAGTAACATTTTAGGTTTGCTGTTGCCAGTGTATACAAATACATTTCCAGTCATACTTCTAACATACTTTAAATGCAGAGTAAAAATATTGGAAAAATGGGACTGTTATGGAATAATTATGTATATCTGTTACACTTATAGATCAGTCATTTTAACTGACTCCAAACAGTTCCAGTCAAATTAAAACTCATTCTGCAGAGCATGGAGTCCACTCTAGTCAGCTAGCATTAGGTTAGTTAGGTTTACAACTATATTCAGCTGACAGATAGTGACAGCAATGTAAGATAAGTTACAAAAATATTTTAAATATTAAGGAGATAATAGATTGTGTGATACCCAGAATATTATGCATTGCAATGACGGTCTGCCATGCATCTGTCTGACTGTTGTATACTTGCAGTTTGTTCAATAAAGGGTTTTTTTTTTGTTTGTTTGCTTATTATGGGCATAATCTTTAGTTTATAGTCATAGTTTATTTTAATACTCTCTGACCAGTCACACAGGACAGAGACTGTAACTAATCATGTGTAGTAACAAAATGCCAACTGGATCCACATACCTACTGCCAAAAGTATTAACTGTGAGCAAGCAAGCAGGAGGAAGCTCATGAGAAGAGCAATTCTGCACGCACACGAGCAGATCTCTATTCACGCACGCAGAACTCTGTAATCCCCTCTCGCAAGTATCATTTTTGTTTGCTCGGATATTAAATTGCACGTGTGGAAAATGAATTTGCTTGCGCCGGATCTTGTTTATGCTCGCAAGACTTATGGCATGATTTTGTAACCGTAATTGTATTACTGACAAACTTTGTGTAAGTCATTGTAAATATGTGAAACTTGATAAATGTCAATAGTTGCATAGCTGGTGGGGCGGGGGGACAGACCAAGGAATGAAGCAGTAAAAGTTAAGTGCAGTTTATTTACAAAAGTGAATGGTTTGGTCCAGAGAGAATCTGCAACGGGAGGAGGTGAGTGGTTAATATCCAATCTGCAGGTTAAAGCGGTCCTCCTGTGTGGCGTTTGCATGTTCTACTCATGTAGGTTTGTTTCCAGATACTCAGCTTTCCTCCCACAGACCAAAAACATGATGTTAGGCTGCCTTCAGACTCAGGCCTCTCTTGGAAAAGAGATCCATGATCTCTAAGGAATTTGCCTGGTTAAATAAAGGTCAATAATCTATAGCAGGTCTATTCAACTAAATTGCTCCGGGGGTCACAGTTAATGCAGGCCAACCGCTGAGGGGCCGAACATCCAGCAATTAAAGTTATTATGTAAATAAACCAAAGATCTGTTACCTTTAAAATAGTTTATTTTGCTGCATTTAATCATGGATATACAGAACCTTATGTAATAAATTTAGGGACAGTAAAACAATATCAAAAACAAAAATAACGCATCATACCTCCTATTTAACACAAATAACATTTTGACATCTCTGACTTGCCAACTTTTTAAATCAATTTTATTTTACTTTGATAGTTTTATCTTCAACTGCTTATAGTTTTAACCATTTTGAGTGTGCTTAGAAATAATTTATGCCAGTTCTAGTCAAGATTCTGATGTTTCTGTAGATACCAAACATGTCTATGTTTAACCAAAAGAACTCATAGTAGTCAAAGTAGAAAACTGGTGGTCTGGGCTTAAGGGATGAGTGAACCAAATGGCGGGCCGCATTTTGGTCACTCGCGGGCCGGATGTGGCCCAAGGGCCACCTGTTGAATAGCCCTGATCAATAGCCATATTTCTATCTAATTTTATCGAACAGCAGGAACAGCTGATCAACTTAAATGAGGTAAATATTTGCTACATCAGAACTTATTCAGCAAATGTGTTTCCATTTTCCTTTTTGTGCATTAACTCTTTTTTTGGAAGATGCAAAAACCACCTCAAATAAGCATTTTTGTAAAATTAAGGATTTTTTTGCCATTTCCTTACCTTTTCTAATGCAATACTTAAAAATGTACCAAAAAAAAACGTTGATGGGAACACGGCTTTTGTCCCAAAATGCTGCTAAGAGCTTAGGGCCTGAATATAACATTTTGTTTACTCCTCGACTTGCTACGACCCTGTGGTACACAAGGTTGACAGAGTGCAGGGAACAGCATGAGCCAAGGTTGAAGTGCGTAAAGTGGCTTGAACTCCCGGTGATAACTGCTTGCACTTTTAGTTTCTTTATGTATTTCTCTTTAAGTCCCAGAACTTATTTGCATGACTAAAAACCTCTGTCCAACACTGTGTTTTGCTGCCACGACTTAATTCCTCACGTCGGTGATGAAAAGTGAAATGGATCTTAAATTGAAATTGTTTTTCATTATGGCTTCACAGACTGGGCACAGATGGAAAGAGGTTAAAGGATCAAATCTCACTTATTGTTTCCACTGCGTTGGCTTTTTTTCTCTAATACACTTCATTATGGTGTTATTTGTTTGAGAGATGCAATCTTTTTTTTAGTGCTGTTTTCTCAGCCTATGGAATGAAGGGTCTGAGGGGACGCAGCCAGCCGCTCACAATAAATGAGATGTGGCATAGCAATCTGTGGTAAGAGACTCAGGTCATGAAAATGCCCTCACACATAAATTACCCAGTTAAGGAACAGCTAATCACAGACACAAGCAGAACCCATTGATGATGTGAATGTGCAGTTACATCACAATAAATAGGTTTGACATCCATAATGAGACATTATTGATAAAGTCTAGGTTTGTCTCCATGGACAACACTTTGTGTCTACAATGTAAAACAAGAAACACTCTTTAAGATTGTGAAGTGTAGAGCCTAAACATGGCTAAAGTTGTATTTTCTTGTTCCATGATCAACTTTTTGAGCTGTTTAATTTCGTTCAGCAGTTCAGTTATAATTTCTGCTGCTTTGTCTATGTTTCTAAAGTCACCAGACATCATGTTGATGGTCTCCTTTAATTCCTCCATGTCTTTATACAGGGTCTTCATAGTCATCTTACCAGCATAAAAGATAAAGTCAGCCACAAAATCCCACTGGAGCCAAGTCACCCAGTAAGCCACCAGTCGGTTCCAACAGCAGGCCGGTCAGCTTCTCTATTGCTTCAGGCCTCTTCACCACCAGTTTTCACCTTGTTTGGCACAAATCATTGAACAGCCACCTGCTGTTTGAACTTTGGACAGCAGTTGACTATAACTGACCCTCGGTGGACTTCAGGGTCCTAGCCACCTTCCTGTTCACTGAACAGGTAACAGACCTGCACGCCAAGCGTTCAGGTTAGGCCCACCTTGTCCAGCTGTACAATATGAAGGCCTCCACATTCTCTATCTGAATCGATGTGCCGTCACGTGGTCTGACCCATTAATGCTCCACACTTACAGCGGGTAAAATAAGTATTGAACACGTCACCATTTTTCTCAGTAAAWATATTACTAGAGGTGCTAATGACATGAAATTTTCACCAGATGTCGGTAACAACCCAAGTGATCCATACATACAAAGAAATCAAACCATAAATATTCAGAAATTAAGTAATTTGTAATAATGTGGAATGGCACGGGAAAAAAGTATTGAAC